GCCTTTATTCTCGTACCGTTAATATTAAAGCGTTACTTACACAATTGTTTTATTTGTTGACGAAACCAAAAGTAAATTAAGTAAAGAAAGAGATGGGCACGAACGTTAGCAATTTAAAATAAAATCAGAAGTGACAATAAAACGAGGTTATAGAAGTCGAAGGCAATTCTTCACTTTCATATAAGTAGTATCGGCACGGTCTGGAAAGGTGGAATATACGACGGAAGTGTATCATCACTGGAGTCGTGACTACGCCCGGTTTCAATTACATGATACTGCATATATCACGTGGTACTAAATGGCGCGACATATCCATACGTCACCACCTGTAACGAGGTTCTCCATATCACCTATAGTATGACGTCATACTAAGGAATATTTTAAATATATTTGTTGGAGAAGGAAAACAATTCGAAGAGGGGGTTGGATCTTATGAATCGGTATTTAAGCGACTTCAAATTATGTAAGCAGCATGAACGTAAATATATTTTTTCAGACTTAATAACATAATATTTAATATTAATATCGATGTCGGTCTGTCCCTACGACCGCGTGGGTCATATGACGTCATGTTGTTTGATGCCATATTGTTGTGACGATGACGCCATACTATGGGTGATACAAATTAATAATAAAGTGACATAGAAATAACACGTGATATGTTGTAACGTTGCAGTATCATGTAATTGGAATCGGAAGAAGCCACGCCTCCAATAATGGCACTTAGTAGTAGTCACTTCGTTAGAAGTAGCCACTTCCGTTCTATATTCTACCGTTCCAGACAGACCGTGCGGATATTATTCACGAACTTATCATAAACACCACAAATGACTAAGGTGACAGTTTTTTTTTTTCATATAATTTTTATTCCAATATGAATTTGGGGTTAGAATTACCCTTAGGTAGCCAAAATGGCGGCCCTTCCGGTAACCTCGACGCCATGTTCGTTTAGAGAAGAAATATAGATGGCGCTGATCATACAGATGATTTCATATGCTAATTTTCTTTAAAAATCTTCATTGGGAAATAATGATGAAATATTCCAATTTTTACTTTGGTTACGTTGAAGATGGATGGTGCGTTTTGTTATCTTTTAGAATATAGTTTGTGTTTTTTTAAAGTTTGTACAATTTTCTTGTATTCCGGGGCAGCGCAACGGGATGACCGAAACAGCGACGACGAGGTAGAAGATCACCGCAGGTGCAGACAGCCGATGAAGCGGCGAGTGAATGAAACCGAGGATGCAGTTTTCCTTAGGTCTAAAATTAAACTCTTACTCCAGGCCGAATCTGTTGGAACCACTACCACTTATAGACGGTTTTCATCTATTACGGTGAATTTTTAATATTTCGTATCTTATCCAAAAATACGAAATGAAACCAAATGCAAGGAAAAAAGTAAGTATCAAACTTTAGTTATTGTTCGATTTAGACATTGTCGCGATTTAGTTGTTGACGTTCGCCATCTTGTTTGCATATGTGCATGCGCAAACAAGAAAGCGACTGCCGCCATTTTGGCTACCTATGGTAAATCTAACCGGCCAATAGAATATTATCACGAAACCAATTGACAATGCCCCACGACCTTTCAGAAATAACGAAATTAGTTTTGAGTATTTTAAATTTATATAGAAATTTTGAAAGTGTATATTCGAGTTCTTAAATTATTTCTTTTTATTAGTAAATTAGCAGATATGTGCGGCATTACCCGGCAGAAAAGTTAAAAGGATAAACTTTAAAATTAAAACTATATTACCTACGCACTCTTCGTAGGTTAAAATAACTAGGAGGTCAAATCGGGAAGAGAGAGGGGCATTCAGATTTCATGGAAGTCTGTATTTTCCTCTGAGTCCTACAGAATAAGTATAAGAAATTCGGTACAGGCAAAAAGTTTAGAAGTTACGAACGAGGATAAAATCAGTAGAGGGGTGGAATATCCAGGTTTAATGGTAGTCTAAATTTCCTTCAAAGTGCCAGAGAACAAGAAAGAAAAAATTGGTGAAGATCCACTAAAAAGCTAAGAACAGAGAGACTCAAATATCCCATTATATATATATATATATATACAGGTAACTCCCTAACACGGGAGTTATGTTCCAAAAAATTGCCGTGTTATGCGAATCCGTGTTATAGAAACAAAGAACTAGTGCGAAAAGGAGGGTTAGGTTCCAAAAATTAAAAAAATATGCTATTGTATTTTTATTATTAAAGCTACTTTTTGATATCAAAAATGTCCTCCGATAGTTTTTTAATATTTTTAATGAATAGATTTTATTATATATACGTTTAATTAAGTCGGGAGGCGGAAATCGCAATAAAAATTTGAATTTTTTAAAAGTATTTAAAAATATACGGCCAGCTAGTATTCACCCTACTTTAAATCCTTGTCCTCCCGAGATGTCTATGAGAATGTCCCGTGAAATACAACACCAGCTGTTCTTAAGGTCATCCAGCTGTGTAAACAATGACTCATCAGTGTCAAATTTCGCAGAAAGGCGAGACAATGGAAAATAAAGTTTGAAACTTCTTCTTCAAAAGTAACGCATTTCTTTCGTTTTTTTCAGTTTTAAGTATTTTTTTTATGTTTAATTACATTAATATCAAAAATTGCTGGAAACTAAAGCGATTAAACTGCAATGATATTTTAACGATTTTAACTGTAAATACATAATTTTAAGCGAAAAATATATATGTATGAACACAACCTAAAGAAAATTCCGGATGTCATGGTATGTCATAACTTATTATGATAAAACATTTGTAATGTAAGAAATTTATAATATGTTTTATTGTGTAGCCGACGGATGACGGGTCTTTGCCCGAAACGCGTATTGGCCTGTAGAAGATTCAAAATAAAGATTATGTAAATTGCCTTGTGTCTATTAATGCACCTAGTCATGAAGAAAAAAAAAACAAATAAGACACAAAGGAAACAAATAAAAAACAAAGGAAGACACGGTCTCGGAAATACATAAGTTATAAGCCTAATTTCCAACGTTTGAATCAAATGAATGGAACAGAATATAACGCTTAGATAACGAAAGTAAAGTCAAATCTGCGCACGTGTAAATCTGACAGACAGAAAAAAGTCCTAATTGCGCAAAACATCAAGAACATCATAAAACAAGTAACAAACAAAAAACACTGCAAAATAGAGTTTAAAAAGAGCTCCTACTTTATCTAGTACTAAATGTTACCCGCGACTTCGTCCGCGCGAATTTTGCAAACAAACCCCATTTATATTCAGTATTTCAACAACCATAGTAATTATTATATGACACCTACCGCTGAGAATAAAATGCTTTCAATTTTTCAAGTTTTCAATTTGATCAATTTTCTGAAACGTTTATAATTGTTCTATAATCAAATATTTACAAATATTTACTGGGGCTTTACAATTTAGGAACACCATTTAAAAAAGCGCGATAGTTACGTTTCACATATGTATATTCACATACAAAACCTGATCGCCAAGTCGATTAAGACCTCTTCCTAATGCTCTGGGGTTTCCGGGATTGAATGCAAACAGGCAACTCTCATAAATTTTTTAAAGATAGGTCCATACCCATATTTCACTGAAACAGACCACCAAATCTATGCCAGTAATTTATGTGGAGCCCAGTTCCTCACAATCTGGTGGTCTCTATTGTTGGCCTGACCGAACCCACGATGAGTATCTTTAATTAAAAAAAGCCCCCATTCCTTCCCACAGGACGGATATATTTATAACTGAAGTAAAAAGTGAGATAGGTGTAGTAGGTAATGTAAATAAAATTTACATTACATACTACACCTATCAACTAAAATGATAGAAATAAAGCCAAGTGTTTATTTATAACTCAAATGTGAGTTCGAAGTCCAGAGTTAAGTAATGAGAACTGTTGTTTAACAAGATTGTATTGTACTTTGGAATGTATATGTTACGGTAAATAAGACTTATACAACAAATATAAAATTTAATTTAAACTCTTTAAATACCAGTTGCTATGCTGTAAATACATTTTACAGCGTAGCATCAAATATATTAAATACATGCATACCAACATTCTTCTAAAAATAGAATTTTTATTCAATATGTAAATATCTAATGTAATCGGTAAACAGTAGTTTGGTAAATAGAACCTTCCAGGAAGACATTCTATGACATAACAAATTCAATTTATTTCAAATTTTTAATTCTAAAATGCCAATTCAAGTATAGGCACGTAAAAAATATTCGAACAACTACACGCGTCCAGACGTTCGTCATGCGCATTTCTTCAGTGGTATTATCTTCTCGGACAATCGTTGGCTAAATATGGAATGATTGCATGAGCAAACTATTCCATTTACTTCAGAAAATGGTGAATAAATGCTTCTATTGCTTTTTTAGACCAACGTTTGCCGTAACAGATATGTTAGGAGGGATCTTGGTTCGTCCTTGTAAATGCCGTTCGGTAAGCAAACGTAAGCGAAAGGTTTTGTTGGTTTATTCAGTATTCATTCAGTTATTATATTTCCTTCATTTTTGTATCGTAATTGATAGTAACCTCTCTCGATTCCCTGATTACGATGTAAATTTCTTTCGATGCGTTCTCAAAAATAGAATAGGTAAGAGTAACTATGCCCTCTTTGTTCACATCATATTTTTTATTGAGTCTTTAGGAGCAACTGTAGGGTATTTTGTACTGAAAACAAGAAAATTCGACAAAATACCTATTAAAATACCAAATAATAGAGAGGAAATATTACGACGCTTTCAAAATTATCTGCTTGCGTTCTCTGGCCTGTACTTTCTGATACTTACGACAGGAAATACAATGTTTTCAGGTTTCGTTGCCGAAGGTATCGAAGCTACTTCTACAAAATTCAGGGGTATTGTATGCGCCGTTATTTTAAATATTAGCTTCGTGTACGAGTTAGCTCTGTTGACGTCTGTATTAATGATAGGATTCATAATTTTGGTTTCTACGAAACAAGCATTCGGTTGTCTTTCCGAACGACTATATTTGGCAAATGTTAATAGTAACGAATACAAGATCGATTATATCATGTCTGAACACGCCGAAATTTGTCGATTTTTTGATAAAGTTAATGATACTTGGAAAGATATGTTTGCTTTAGTTTATGGTATTGGTATGCTCGTGCTTGGACTATTGGTTTATAATAATGTTTACAAAACTCAAAATCCGGAAATTCAATGGTTAAACGATATCGCTTCGATCATCTTTATACTTATCGTACTTTATGCTTCGTTTGTAACATCACATGTGATTAATTCGGTGAGTTAAACTTATTTATTCAATAAAATTATTAATTTTTTTATTAAAAATTCAAACTTTAAATATTTTCAGATCTATGATAACTTTCAAGAAATCCGAAAACTTAATATAAATTCTTCTCGGATAACGTATAAACTTAAGGTTTGGTGTTCATTGTATTTGCTATTATATTTCAATTTACAGCAAGATATTGAAAGATAAATTTCCAATCTAGCTGATTTGTTTCATGAAATTCTTTCGTGAAAATGCCATCGGATTCAATTGCGGAGATATGTTCATTATAACAAAAGACATTCCCATTCAGGTAATTGTTTTTAATAATTTAGTCGATAATGTTCAGCCGTTATTGTAAATAATAATATGTAAATTTCATTATTATCTTTACATAGGTGTAATTGCATATACTGTAAGGTCTCTTTTTATGCGGTGGATACGTTCTACAGAAAAGCGCATATAAAAAATTCGCATAAAAAAAGACTTTGCTTGCCTTGAAAAAGTAGGGATACGTTCTGTAATTTTCTAAAATTGCATAAAACCAAAACAACCAGTTAAAATTAACTTAAAACCGCATATAAAAGTTTGCAGAAATTAAAAGAAATAGGCTGCTTAATAAATTACTTCGAATGTCTGAAAGAAATTCCTAAGAAATGAATGCTAAGGAGGGTATAAAATTGGCCCGCTTTCCTTGAAGTCAGAACCTTGAGAACTACGCACTTAGTTCGATGATCTTCGTACACCATTATAATTTGTGTTCCTTGTCAGATTGGGACTGAAAATCAATGAGATCGACCTGACAACGGGAATTAAATTCAGAAAAAAAATATAATGAATATATGTGAACGGATCTTTCCCTGAAATATTAAATTAAACCTTCGGTATCTGTGAATGCATGGTTTTGTATTGCAAATAACATCATCACAAATCACGTAATTTGCAAACTCAAACTCGTGTATACATTTCTTTACGGTAGACCTATATAATTTTCATTGTTTATGATACACCGGTTTAGCACCACACTGTAATTAGTGCCCATTTCAGAGCCCTTTAAATTGAAATTTGACTGTAAACAGGATGAACCCAGGTCGGACGTGATCCTTAACCATAGAATATAACTGGCTTTTCTCCTTCACCAAATAATGATTGATGTAAAAATGTGAGATCCTAAGCCAGGGGCATCTTTTAAAACTTTTCCAAGAGGGAGCAAAGAGATATACTTTCGTTATCATAATTATTGCTTAAATTAAGCTTATATCAGATAATTAATCGTACTACTGAGTGAGGCAGAGAATATAATTTCCTGACAATCCTTAAAGAATTAATTATAAGGTTTCATTTCTAAACCATTCACCATTGGTTAAAAGGCTTGATCCATTGGAGGCAAATTACCAATTCTTTCAGCGGACGACTGTGCTCTAAGCTATAGTTTCATAATGGGAGATCCTAGTTTATTCACATAACTAGTAAATGGGCACAAATTTATGTGCTACTAGTACCACTATAAAAAGTCCAGAGATAATGCTTTGATTCTCTCCCTCCCCATGGTGTACAGTACAATGATGTACTTTTCGCTATCCCTCTCCTTCTCTTACACGTAATTAATGGGCGGCCCCTAACGCTTCGTAACATTGTTGCACATATCCATGTCCAAAATTGAGCAACCGCGTTAATTGTACTAAGAAATAATGCACAGCATAATGTACCGAACGTTACATTATTTTATTAATTACATGATTAACGTTAATAAAATAAGCAGTGATAATGGAATAATAAAAGCAGTGACATAAACAGTACGGTTCACTTGGACGGCGCTAAGGTAAGGCGAAGGGGACGCCAGTCCATCCTAAAAAAGCTCTTCCCACACTCTTCCGTCCACCCTGAAATAATGATTTATTCGAGTCTACCTATAGTGACCTATACAGATCATTATTGGAGGATTCTATATTGTTGAATTTATTGTTTGCCGAGTAACTGCATGCTCTCAAAAACCTTCTTTCCACTTATAAATCCTCAAAACCGATTGATGTTTTAAAAATTAGTTTGTCTGAAGATACTGTAAATGCGCAGATAACACCCGCTCCACTAAAACAATGTTTCGTCCTCCCAGAGTGAAAATCCTAACGTCATTACTAACTATGTCACATTTTAGAAACAAAAATGAATCGTTTCGTTACCTAAAGGTTGAGACTCTAACATCACATAGCGATTTTTGTAAGTGTTCCTACTTCCTTGTAAGGCATCTTAACGATTACCTGTATACCCACTCACCCATATCTGCCTTAGGCAATTTATGGACAGCCTCAGTAATGAAGTATTTGAATAAAAGAGAAATTCGATCTTTACAATGGTTAACGAACTTTAGGACTTTAGTTAGATTCGAAAACAAATTTCGTCACGTTTTTCAATATAATTTTGAAAATCTAGTTACAAACTACTAATGGTCACATTTTTTTTGTTTTTTATTTTTTCTAAAATAAATATTTTTCTTCTACTACTACCTTATTTATTTAAAACGTAATATATTTTTTTAATTGATTTTATATATTTTTCTATGAAATAATCATATAATTTCAATTTTACAGTATCTTTCTATCGCATCTAGCTGGTTTGATACTGATATTTCTGTACACACCATTAGTAGAACCATTTCTCTTTACTGGGGAATCCAGTAGTTTACCAGCTCTTCGACGACGTTACCTTCTCACTTGTAAACACGTGTTAAAATGGTACGCGGGTGACATTTGGAATCCAAAGGATTCGGCTTATAAATCCATTCTTACAGTCAGGAATATGCACAAAAATGTAGCTATTCAAATGGATTCTCCAACGAGTAGTCTGAAAGCTCCGGAAGGGATGTTGTTTTTTTCACAAGCAGGAATGTTAGCTACTCAGTTTGCTTTTATCGGTTGGTTAACATGTTTTCCCAAAGAAGTAGGATTGTACTGCGACAAAGACGATCTGGAATGCATTCTTCACTTTTGGAGATGCATCGGCTATCTTTTAGGAATGGATGACAAATACAATATATGTGATGGAAATTATGAAGAGACTGTTGTATTATTTAAAGAAATTATAGAAGAAGAAATAAAGATAGGTATGAGGAATCCCAGGAAAGAAGGGTTGAAAATGAGCAAAGATATTGTAACAGCTTTGAGTACAGTGATTCCTTTACTGAGTTGGAATGCCCTGAAGAAATACTGGTTCGAAAACATTGACTTTCCGGTTGATTTTACTTTGAATTTTTATGATATTGTCTGTTTTTGGTTTTATAAATTGCTGTGTAAAATAATTTTAAGGTTTAGTCAAACAATGAAATTAACTAATTATTTATTCAAATGTTACATAAAGAAATTTAATGTAATTAACTTTTAATCATTATGATGTAGCCTATTAATTACAACAGCGACTGTTATAAGTGACTAAGGAATATGTTAAATAACTCGGGTCGAAAACTTTTGTATTTATAATTTTTAAAAACATATGTAAATATTAACAGTTATTTTATAGAAAGAAAATAAATTAGTAATAAAAATATAATTACCAGTAATTTTGCTTTGTAAAACAATAAATTGGTAAGAAATATTTTAGTTTGCAGAAAGAATTTAATTTAAAATGATAAATTATATGAAATTTGCTAAATGCAGGGTGGTTCAAAAGTGAGTTAACCGAGGTATAGGCCTACAGTTTTAAGATTATTTTAAGAGCGATTAAAACCAGTCTGGGGAAAACTGCATGTTGTTATTTGTGATTCACCAACATTCAACATGTTTATTGGAAGCGACTATACTTCTGTTAACCGACTTTTAGGGACGGCCGGATGGCCGAGCGGTTAAGGTGGCGGCCTACCGCTCTGGGGGACACATATCCGGACGGGTCGAAAAATCCCCAGGAATTTTTCGGGGTTGGTCCGTCCGGCCCCATCCCTCACCACCCGGCCCGCCCACCATCCTCCATCCCTTTTAGCAAGCCCATTATGGGTTTGGTCAGGCTCCATTGTGGGCCTGGCCGAACCCATAAAAGAGGCCCTCTTAGTGCCCACAGAGCAGAAAAAGTTTAAAAAAAAAACCGACTTTTTCCGAGAAATAGTTTCGTCCCAAAAATGGCTTTGCCGTTTACTTGTATTTTTTTTATATAAAACTCATCCCTACCCCGAAATTACGTTTATTATTATTATTATTATTTTTTTTTTGCAATTTTATACTCTAGCAATTTATACCCTAGCAATTATACCGAGCAATTTTAGCATTCATTTCTAAGAAATGAATGCTAAGGAGGGTATAAAATTGGCTTATAGGAGGGTATAAAATAAAATTCATTTCTTAGAAATGAATGCTAATGTGGTGTGCTGTCCATGGAAGCTGTGGAAGCGCCGTTTCCCTTGTATTTTCTAAAATATAAATACATATTGTGTGATTATTTTCATATTTTAACGTACTTTGATCTAATTAAAATTAATATTTTATTATAATCGCATTATGTATCTTGTTACAAATTTATATATATGTGAAAAACAATGATAAGATTGAAGCCAACTTCCAGGGGCAATCAATTAATTGTCCCTGGAAGTCGGCTTCTCACAGAAACACAGCTCCCATATCATCAAATGCACGCCACTGCATTTCTAATTATATATTCGTTATGCAACGTTGCGAAATATGTACAGATCATTTCGTATATTTATTATATGCAAATTAAATAACATTTCTAAAGATTTCATAATAAACTATTCATATTAATACTGTTTTTATATGATTTAATTAGTATTCAGTAAAGCATAACTTAATAAATTTTATGTAAATGCCATTATTAAGATTGATAAATTTGAAAATAAAAAATATAGAGTATTTGTCTAGTTAAAATAAATTAAAAAATATTAAATAGAATTAAAATTTTAGTCTTATTTAAAGAGCACTAAATTCAGCATTAAATGTTTTGATTTATAAAGCATCGGGATCGAATGCAAGCGAGCAACCTCATAATTTTTAATTTGCTTTTTAAAATGAATACAGAAGTACAGATGATTTGTTTATATCATAATAATAAAAATTCAGCAACGCGTTACATGACATTTCTGGTAAAAAAATTTAAACTTGTGATGTCGCCATTTGTTATGATATTTTATCTGAAAAACTTTTTACGTTATTAATTATTATAAAATGACAAAAAAAAAACGTAATTCGAGGGTAGGGATGAGTTTTATAAAAAAAAAAAAAAGAAAAAAGAAAAAGCAAGTAAAACGGCAAAGCCATTTCTGGGACGAGACTATTTCTCGGAGAGCACGAGCAACGCATGCGCAAATCTCGCATCCTGTTGGTAGAAACAATCTCAACATTTCGTATTTTCTTTTGACCCGGTTCTCAGTCCCCTTACTACCTACAAGTCTGGGTTATTTTATGTGAGCATGATTTGGGCACCAAATACTCTGTGCCAAATTGCAACTCCTGACACGTACTCATTCATACCTGTAAGGTGTGCAGCCGTTGACAGCAGCGCGATTTTATTGATATAGTCTCGTCAAAAAATTGTAAACGCTAATAACGAGTAAATTAAATTTTGATTTATTCGATTACGGCAACGCGACACACGGGAGATCTGCCTAGGGAGAATGCTTTCGGGGAGGTCTTTTATTGCGAAACTAGCCCCTGTGGACACGATTTCATGCACTACATCAGGAGAGATCTCTGCTTCAAATCCTCCAAAGTTTCGCTCTAGGACACAAAGGCCGTAGGCCGGATGGCCGAGCGGCCAAGATGGCAGCCTACCGCTCTGGGGGACCAGGGATTGAAACCGCACGGGTCAAAGAATTTTACTGGGGGCGGTCAGCTCGGATATGTCAGGCTCGATAAATAGTCTAAACTTCAATTATGAAGAAATATATCCTGAGTAATTACAGAAATAACTATTTTTAAATAAATTTGTTATTTTCAATTTTTTGAATGAACATACTACTCAGACAGAAGTGTGTCATGTTTAGAATTGAGGTAAGTGTTCCTTTTTCTCTATTTCTTTAATTGTTTTGCTAATTTTTTGTGATATTACAACTTTATTTAGTTCATTACATATTTCCATTCAGGAGCGAATTCTTTTGGCTTGCTTAGCATGTGCCGCATGCTTAAGAGAAAGTTTTGTCTATCAATATATTTTTTATATGAGAACAAATATGCCAATAGTAATTTATTCTAACGTGTAAACTCTTTTATTATTTGTGTTTCCTTTTATATTTACAGCTGGCGGCTAGCCGTTTTACGTAAGTGTGATGCTTGTGGGAACTCCATCGCTCGTTCGTGTGGAGGTTTTCAGCAGCCAACAAGTGCCCGCGCATGACGTCATTCGAAGCATTTAACACGGCCAGATTGTATCGAAAGCTTGCAATACCCAGTCAGCATACATGTGTTGTGTACAGGGCTAATTCGTGTTTTTCATGAACTATAGAGGGCGCTGCATTTTTAGAAAATGGCTATTTTATCTGGGTCGCTTGTAACAAGTAATGTAAAATTAATCATATACTGTAAGGTCTTGTTTTATGCGGTGGATACGTTCTACAGAAAAGCGCATATAAAAAATTCGCATAAAAAAAGACTTTACTTGCCTTGAAAAAGTAGGGATACGTTCCGTAATTTTCTAAAATCGCATAAAACTAAAACAATGAGTTAAAATTAACTTAAAAGCGCATAAAAAAGTTTGCAGAAATTAAAAGAAATAGGCTGCTTNCAGAATTTTTCTCAGCGGTGAGGCAAACATGTTTATAATTGTCCAACGGTGCAATGGAGGCCACAGTGACTGTTAGATTGGCCAGGCTGACGTCACGCATCAATGTATTCCTTCAGTTTAACGCGCCTCTGTCTATACAGGTATGGGCATCCGTCGTTTTGTGTTGACGACGATCGTCATACAATAGTCTTGCCGTGTATTGTTTCTCATACGATAGTGTTGCCAGCTCATCCTTCCTGGCCTGAATCTCGACAAATATGATAGCGAAATACAATTCAAGACCAGATATGAAATTTCAGGGACAGGAAGCCGGTCTAACTGTATATGGACTTCCGGACTTGAAGTCAAGTGAATTCAATTCAAAAATCGCCCTTAAATGGAGTTACATAGATAGCCGGCACGACTCCATTGCTAACGGAAAAGTATGATTAATTAACAGTGGCAAGACATTACAGTAGTAGATTGAGATGTGTAAAGCATATATTTTAATTTAGATAAATTCAAAATGTGATTAAAAGTTGCAGCTCGGTATGAGGATAATGTCATAATAAATAATTTCTCTTTGCTAGTTCTATACTCTTTACTAGTACTAGCATTTTCCTGATGGACACATTTTTATGTCGCCGAGTGGATAACATTAATTTGTCGTGGATTCCGCCTAACTAACGGCCGATCACGTGGCTTTTGCTCTGTTTTATTCACGTGTGTAACACATAGTAAATATATTACAGGGGAATGCGTTTTACCCAGATGGTCCCCTCTAAATTTCTTCGAAATTTTCTTTAATGATCCAAAAACAACAATTTGGCCATCTGATAAAAATATTCTCGAGTGTTGCTTTGACGCATTACATTAAACAAAACAATTTTAATGTTAATGTGTTAGACGAACCACAAAGTATTACAGCAATATTACTTATTATTTCTTGTCCTAATTTCTGTGAATAGTAAATAGTCTCGATTATCCAGAATTAATGGAAGAAACTTGCATTCCGTTTAATCGAGTAAACTTGAAATCCTTTAGAAACGTAGTTCACGAATAATTTAGGATTCTCTAATATTAATGAGGATAATATCTTCACAAATATATACTGGCGCTTTACCAACACGACAGTATTTAGCAAAGCGCAATAGTTACGTTTCACATATGTATATTCACATACAAAGCCTGATCGCCAAGACGATTAAGACCTCTTCCTAATGCTGTGGGATTTCCGGGATTGAATGCAAACAGACAACTCACATAAATTTTTTAAAGATAGGTCCATACCCATATTTGACTGAAACAGCACCAAATCTGTCACTAATTTATGCGGAGCACAGTTGCATATAATCTGGTGGTCTCCATTGTTGGCCTGACCGAACCCACGATGAGTGTGTTTAATTAAAAAAAGCCCCATTGCTTCCCACAGGAATTATATATTTATAACGGAAGTAAAAAAGTGAGATAGGTGTAGTATGTAATTTAAATAAAATCTAATTATATGCAGCACTTAAGTAATGAGAACTGTTGTTTACTAAGATTGTATTCTACTTTGGAATATATCTTTTACGGTAAATAAGACTTATACAACAAATATAAAATTTAATTTAAACTCTTTAAATTTAAATACCAGTTGCTATGCTGTAAATACATTTTACAGCGTAGCATCAAATATATTAAATACATGCATACCAACATTCTTCTAAAAATAGAATTTTCATTGAATATGTATATATCCATTGTAATCGGTAAACAGCAGTTTGGTGAATAGTACCTTCCAGGAAGACATTCTACGAAATACCAAATTCAATTTATTTCAAATTTTAA